CCCAGGGAGTGCCTCTGAGGCTGTTACTCTCTGTATATGACTGTAAATATTACAGGCCAGTTAATTGGTGATTAGCTAGTAGCCATCTTTCTTGAATGAAGCAGTCCTGTATACGTTGTTGATGCTTTCAGGATCGGTGCAGATCCATTACAACTTTTAACCAGTAAATGTAGTCTTTAAAATGGGACTAAATCATTTTGTTTTTTTAAAATACACGAATAAGAATTTGACTGCACACCAACACAACATATTGCCCAATTATTTGGCAGAATATAAAAGCTGGGTTTCATTGAGTAAATAGATACCAAACATATCAAGGCAAAAAAAATTGCGTGCACCTGGGAAATAGCAACAACCTACAGTATCTAAAAAGATTATCAGTGTATAGTTAATCGTGAATGATGGTCCTGGAATTATTGCTCTTGCTATTATGTTTGTGGCGAGAACTCACATGAGGTTGCAACTTCCGTTTACATATGCTTGCTGGACCTATGCCTGCATTTGCATATACATGTATTCACAGAGGATGGGAGTGCTTTTACATTTGTTGAATTATTTTTTATTTTTTTACACTTTAAAATTTTTTTTTAATTTAACTTTATTTCTATCACAAAGAGGATAACAAGTCCCAATGTGATAGCTTTGACAAGTGACAGGTTCTCTTTATGGAGACATCAGGGGTCTATTGGACACCCAATGTCCCCCCTGCCTTCCAAAGCAGCTAATCAAGCATAGGATGTGCTTGATTAGCTGCTTCCCTGGATATACCAGCCAGGGAATGACAGCTCTGAAGCTGAAAGTAAATCATTATCTCTTCAGCTTCATTCATCACAGAGGAGATGGAGGGGAAAGGATGTTCCTCCATCTCCTCTGTGTCCACTGTTGCGTGCTGTTTATCGTGAACTCAGGCTCACCGAACTACTGGAAGAGCCAGAAACCATTGAAGCCAGCGGCAGTCCTTCTCAAAAGTAATCAAGTGGCTATAGAGATAACCTCTACTAAACAGCTGAATGGCTGTAAAAAGAATGACAGTAAGATCATGGCCGACAGGACGTATATATACATACAGCAATCAGTGAGTGGTTAGAAAGGCAGAAGGTCTTTTTTTATCCTTAACTGCTTTCCCTCCAGAAGATTTCCCCCCTTCCTGACTAGGCCATTTTTTGCAATACAGCGCTGCATTACTTTGACTATTACATGGTCATGCACCGCTGTACATAAATTAAATTTATGTCATTATTTTCCCACAAATAGAGCTTTCTTTAGGTGGTATTTGATCACCTCTGCGGTTTTTATTTTTGCACTATAAACAAAAAAATACTGACAATTTTGAAAAAAAAAAAAAAAACTATATTTTTGACTTTATGCTATAAAACATATCCAATAAGAAAAAAAAAATTGTTTCATAAATTGAGACCAAAATGTATTCTGCTGCATGTCTTTGCTAAAAAAAATCCCAACAAGTGTATATTAATTGGTTTACATGAAAGTTCTAGCGTCTACAAATGGTGGTATATATACTGGAATTTTTATTTATTTAATACTAGTAATGGTGCGCACACCCCTACCTAGAAATACAAAATAATGTATATTTACATGATTTTGACAGCGAATCTGCCCTGTAGTAGTACATCTACTATGGGGTGGCAGGCAACTGGTTAATGCATTATAGTAAAATACCTTCTATGTACATCTCCTTTTTTATACTTACCTGAGACCCATCTCAGTCCAGAGATGTGAATGAGAGTCGGGGATCTTCCTCTCTGCCTGTACAGCTCAATGTACAAATTCAGCAATGTCAAATCTGACTTAACTTCTGAGCATGTGCGGGAGTGATGTCATCCCCACCTGGCCAATAACAGCAGCCAGCAATCGAGACCCAGTAGCTGGCCACCCAAAGATGTTAGCAGCAGGGAGTGCATCGCTGGAGCCGAGGTGAGTACAGCTCTGCTTTAATGCATTCTATGCATTAAGGTAAAAAACCTTCCGGGTGCAGCTCACCCCTTAAAAAAAAAAACAGGGCTGCTCTGTGCAAAACTATTGCACAGAGCAAATACGACATGCTTGTTTTACTGCTACAGGGCGGTACGGGTGCGCGCAAAATCACGTATATATACACATGTGATTTTGCAGATCCTGATAGGGGGCGCGTGCGCCCTACCCACGCCGCCATTTGCGGCCTCGGCTGTCAATCACCGGGTCCCGGTCGGTGATTACTCGCTGGCACCCGGTGATTGCCGAGTATCTCCAATGGGGGAGAGATATGTGTATAAACAACACAGATCTCTCCCGTCAGCTCCTGCACACTGCATAGCAGAGCCATACAAACCAGTGTGATTACAGTGAAGCACACACACAGCCAACATAGCGAAACAGCACACAGTTAACCCTTTGATCACCCCACGTTAACCCCTTCCTGCCCAGTACCATTACTACAGTGTCAGTGCTTTTTATTAGCACTGATCACTGTATGGGGTCACTGGGGATGTCAGTGACACGTCAGTTCCCCCCAGTGTAAGAATGCCTACCACAGTCCTGCTATAAGTCGCTGAATGCCATCATTAGTAAACAAAAAAAAAAAAAAATACATTCCAGTATCTATACCGCCATTTGTAAATGCTATAATTGCATGTAAACCAATTAATTTACACGTATTGTTTTTTTGTTTTTTAGCATAGACATGTCGCTGAATGCATTTTGGCCTAAATTGATGATGACATTTGATTTTTTTACTTGACATGTTTAATAGCAAAAAGTAAAAAATATTGCTTTTTTCAACATTTTCAGTATTTTTTTGTTTATAGCGCAAAAAATTAAAAACGCACAGGCGATCAAATACCACCGAAAGCTTTTTGTCAGAAAAAAGGACATACAAATTTGGGTGCAGCGTTGCATGACCGCGCAATTGTCAGTTAAAGCAACACAATGTCGTAACGCAGTGGTTCTCAACCTTTCTAGCGCCGCGACCCCTTAATACAGTTCCTCATGTTGTGGTGACCCCCAACCATAAAATTATTTTCGTTGCTACTTCATAACTGTAATTTTGCAGTAGGAGGAATAGTGCCCCGTCATTGGTGTCAGTGGGAGGAATAGTGCCCCCTTCATTGGTGTCAGTGGGGGGAGGAATCGTGCCCCGTCCTTGGTGTCAGTGGGGGGAGGAATCGTGCCCCGTCCTTGGTGTCAGTGGGGGGAGGAATCGTGCCCCATCCTTGGTGTCAGTGGGGGGAGGAATCGTGCCCCATCCTTGGTGTCAGTGGGGGGAGGAATCGTGCCCCATCCTTGGTGTCAGTGGGGGGAGGAATCGTGCCCCATCCTTGGTGTCAGTGGGGGGAGGAATCGTGCCCCATCCTTGGTGTCAGTGGGGGGAGGAATCGTGCCCCATCCTTGGTGTCAGTGGGGGGAGGAATCGTGCCCCATCCTTGGTGTCAGTGGGGGGGGAGGAATCGTGCCCCATCCTTGGTGTCAGTGGGGGGAGGAATCGTGCCCCATCCTTGGTGTCAGTGGGGGGAGGAATCGTGCCCCATCCTTGGTGTCAGTGGGGGGAGGAATCGTGCCCCATCCTTGGTGTCAGTGGGGGGAGGAATCGTGCCCCATCCTTGGTGTCAGTGGGGGGAGGAATCGTGCCCCATCCTTGGTGTCAGTGGGGGGAGGAATCGTGCCCCATCCTTGGTGTCAGTGGGGGGAGGAATCGTGCCCCATCCTTGGTGTCAGTGGGGGGAGGAATCGTGCCCCATCCTTGGTGTCAGTGGGGGGAGGAATCGTGCCCCATCCTTGGTGTCAGTGGGGGGAGGAATCGTGCCCCATCCTTGGTGTCAGTGGGGGGAGGAATCGTGCCCCATCCTTGGTGTCAGTGGGGGGAGGAATCGTGCCCCATCCTTGGTGTCAGTGGGGGGAGGAATCGTGCCCCATCCTTGGTGTCAGTGGGGGGAGGAATCGTGCCCCATCCTTGGTGTCAGTGGGGGGAGGAATCGTGCCCCATCCTTGGTGTCAGTGGGGGGAGGAATCGTGCCCCATCCTTGGTGTCAGTGGGGGGAGGAATCGTGCCCCATCCTTGGTGTCAGTGGGGGGAGGAATCGTGCCCCATCCTTGGTGTCAGTGGGGGGAGGAATCGTGCCCCATCCTTGGTGTCAGTGGGGGGAGGAATCGTGCCCCATCCTTGGTGTCAGTGGGGGGAGGAATCGTGCCCCATCCTTGGTGTCAGTGGGGGGAGGAATCGTGCCCCATCCTTGGTGTCAGTGGGGGGAGGAATCGTGCCCCATCCTTGGTGTCAGTGGGGGGAGGAATCGTGCCCCATCCTTGGTGTCAGTGGGGGGAGGAATCGTGCCCCATCCTTGGTGTCAGTGGGGGGAGGAATCGTGCCCCATCCTTGGTGTCAGTGGGGGGAGGAATCGTGCCCCATCCTTGGTGTCAGTGGGGGGAGGAATCGTGCCCCATCCTTGGTGTCAGTGGGGGGAGGAATCGTGCCCCATCCTTGGTGTCAGTGGGGGGAGGAATCGTGCCCCATCCTTGGTGTCAGTGGGGGGAGGAATCGTGCCCCATCCTTGGTGTCAGTGGGGGGAGGAATCGTGCCCCATCCTTGGTGTCAGTGGGGGGAGGAATCGTGCCCCATCCTTGGTGTCAGTGGGGGGAGGAATCGTGCCCCATCCTTGGTGTCAGTGGGGGGAGGAATCGTGCCCCATCCTTGGTGTCATTTGGGGGAGGAATAGTGCCCCATCGTTGGTGTCAGTGGGAGGAATAGTGCCCCATCATTGGTGTCAGTGGGAGGAATAGTCTCCCATCGTTGGTGTCAGTGGGAGGAATAGTGCCCCATCGTTGGTGTCAGTGGGAGGAATAGTGTCCCATCGTTGGTGTCAGTGGGAGGAATAGTGCCCCATCATTGGTATTAGTGACACCAATGATGGGGCACTATTCCCACTGACACCAATGATACTTACCTTGCAGACCCCTGCTCCAGTCTGGGCTCGCTCGCTCCCTCCCTCTCCCATGGTACCGACACTTACCTGTCAGATGTCTTCCTTCTCCGGCCGCTCTCCTCCTCTTCACTCGCTCGATCTTCGCGGTGCCGCTCGGCTCCTCCTCTCCAAGCTCCACCTCCTTGCCGGTGATTGGCCGCCTGTGTGCCTCTCCTGAGCTACAGTGCTGGCGGCCAATCACAGGCGAGGATTGATCTCGAGTTGTGTCCAGATGACAGGGGCGGCATGTCATCCCGCCCACACCTGGAGACGGCGGTGGCGGCGGCGAGGAGCGGTGTCTCGGTTCCTAAGACCATCAGAAATATGTGTTTTCCGATGGTCTTAGGCGACCCCTGTGGAAGCGTCGTTCGACCCCCAGGTTGAGAACCGCTGTCGTAACGCAAGAAATGGCCTGGTCAGGAAGGGGGGTAAATCCTCTGGAGGACAAGTGGTTACTAAGAATACATTTTGTACAGCTTGGTTGATTTTTGCCTCATCTGATGTATGGCAATACTTGGATGTTTGTTACATTGGGATAAAAGTGTGGCCCTTCTCAGATATAATGCTGTCATTCATGACAAAGTCAGGAGCATGCAAAGAATGACAAAAACAAATTGCCAATAGGATGCAATGGGCAGGCTATCCAGATCAGAGTGCTGGCCCCATAACAGACACGATCCTTGACGGACGGGAGTAAACAGAACGGAAGCAGAGCCTGGCTTTGGTTCCGCTGAGGAAACGCATGTCCTGCAGTCAGCGTATGACTTGTAGTCCCACCACGCTACAGCGCTCCATGTGGTGAGACGCTGGCAGTGACGGAGGCGGCGCACTTCCTCCCGCAGTGGCAAGCATTCTGCATTTTACGATCCACCACACAGCCTGCAATACCGGACACAGCCAGCGGGCGCCGCTAGAGCGCGAGCCTTGTAGTTACGTCTATACACCGCCACGAGGCACCCTTTCCCAAAAAGCTCCGCCACTCACCCCCTGCGGCCTCCTCCTTCCCTATCATCATCGGACTATCCTGGTCTAGGCTCCCGCTCCTCGATGGAGACTCTGTTCCCAAGGTGGTGTCGGTCCCTAGAGTCAGCTCCGCATCTTCCTCGCTCTGCGCAGCGCGCTCCATGTCTCCCGACTTGCTGTCCTCCTTCGTCCGCTTCATTCCCCTCCCTCTGCAGGAAAGTGCGCGGGTGCAGACGCGGCGGGCCCTTAACACACGCTGTCTACAGCACCGCACGGGAGGGCGGGGCCTTCACTTGGCACTAAGGAAAGGACGGTGTCACCTACCGCCGAGCGCCGCACAGGACTGGAGGGCGGGGACAACGACGCTGTGGCGGGCGGAGCTAGAGCCCTGCGCACTGGGAAGGATTGGGTGGGTGACGTCACTTGAAGGGGGTTTGTGGAGGTTTTCGGCGCCGCACGTGAATGGGGGGAGGGTATAGCTCCTCATTGTGGGGCGTGTCTCCTCCCACCTTTCCTCAGGGCGCCGCACGGGACAGGGGGAGGAGACGTGTGGCAGCTCGGGCGGGGACAGGGCGGCCGCGAGTTGTTCTATGCTGAGTTCATGTACGCAGCAGCTTGTCCAACCCAGGCTGTACTCGGAGCTTCCCGCCTACCACCCGTGCTGGGCGCTAATGGCTCCTGAATCACACTACACATTGCTAAAGTATTGTAGTACAACCACTGAGGTGTCCAATGAGCTACGGAGATCCGCTCTGCCCTCCCACTGGGCGCGTTTACTGACGTCACTCATGCAGAGAAGCGAATGCAGCCGGATCATGGTGCCCTTGGCCTGTCACTATGGCAACGGGGCCCATGGGAGGGGAAGAGGCCCCCGAATTAACCACTTATGTGCACGTTGAGGGACTCTGCTTCATGGCTTTTTACAATGTTGCAAGAAACACTACATAAATACATGTTATCAAATACATTGATTCCAAGTAACATCCAAAGTTACAGCAGACTAATATTTGAATAAAATGGGGATGAATTCTCACAGGCTGGTGCACATGGAGGTCTTTTTGTTTTGTAATCTGTGGATTAGTTCCATGCATATAGCAATGAATGGCTGCACATGGGTGTAGTCCACTACTTGCGTAAACCCGCGCATGTGTAAAGCCGTACGTCCCTGGACACCTACCTGCTTCCAGGATTGCACGCATGCGCAGGTTGCGGCATAAACCCACGGACAGCAGTATTCACGGACAGAAAGTCGACTGGTTCATTTTGCAGTCCATGTATATCCTTGCTTTAGAGATGAAAGGTTTACTTTAATACCTTATATATACCCACTGAAATGCCTAATCTCATGTGATACACAGAGATGAAATGCATCCTCTTACACAAGGTGTACCTGCTTTTCTACAGCTCTCTCCCCTCTACAGCCTTCCAAAACACACAGATCAAAGGCTCCAAAAGGCAGGGAGCAGAGATCTGACCTCACACACTTGCAAAGCACATAGAGGAAAGCTGAGTGTAATCTGAGACCCGAGTGGAGGGCCATCTTCAGGGATTGCTTGGTGTCCAGTTATACTGTCAGAAGTGACTCATGTAGATAGAAGAGGGAGGAGAGGTCAGATAGGAACCACACTAGATGTTTTGGAAGGAGGCAAGTACAAGTTATAGAGGAATATACTTTGTTCACTTTTCATTTCAGAGGTTTACAACCAATTTAAGGTGTAAAGTGAAAGTTTACTATATTAGACCTTTATTAGCCAAGTGGCACCAGGCTTGCCTTTGGAAGTGTTACTAAATCCACAACAGTAAAATCAGTCTGTATTTGCAGTAAAGCATGCTTGTTATACTCACTGTGGAATGTAAGGGGTTAAATCGCTGCATTGTGGAAAAAGGCTGTTTGATCCTGTCTTCTCTGCACCTCCTCTTGTTGAAATGTCCACATTGATAGGACAGACTGAACCCGTAGCCCTTCTGCTTATGCTCAGTTTATTGTGTTTTGCTAAACTTTTTTCTTTTTTTTTTGGAGAGTGCATGTGATCAGCACAGGGCCAAACAGCACTGTCCAGACAGAGGTCAGGGGTTCTGCATCCTCCTAGAGCAGAAAGAAAACTCCTACGAGCTTTAACCAGTGCTCTGCTAAACACTGATAGAAGTCACACGACTGTTCTAACTGCTGATGAGGAAAGGTATTTAGCAGTTTATATTTACTAAAATAATTGCATTTCCATGTTGTGTGTACTGTGGTAGACCAGATATAGTGAATGCAGGGTCCGGGGAGACCAGATATGGTGAATGCAGGGTCCGGGGAGACCAGATATTGTGAATGCAGGGTCCGGGGAGACCAGATATTGTGCATGCAGGGTCCGGGAAGACCAGATATAGTGAATGCAGGGTCCAGGGAGACCAGATATGGTGAATGCAGGGTCCGGGGAGACCAGATATAGTGAATGCAGGGTCCGGGGGGGAGACCAGATAGAGTGAATGCAGGGTCCGGGGAGACCAGATAGAGTGAATGCAGGGTCCGGGGAGACCAGATATAGTGAATGCAGGGTCCTGGGAGACCAGATATAGTGAAGGCAGGGTCCTGGGAGACCAGATATAGTGAATGCAGGGTCCGGGGAGACCAGATAGAGTGAATGCAGGGTCTGTGGAGACCAGATATAGTGAATGCAGGGTCCGGGGAGACCAGATATAGTGAATGCAGGGTCCTGGGAGACCAGATAGAGTGAATGCATGGTCCGGGGAGACCAGCTATAGTGAATGCAGGGTCTGGGGAGTCCAGATATAGTGAATGCAGGGTTCGGGGAGACCAGATATAGTGAATGCAGGGTCCGGGGAGACCAGATATAGTGAAGGCAGGGTCCTGGGAGACCAGATAGAGTGAATGCAGGGTCCGGGGAGACCAGATAGAGTGAATGCAGGGTCCGGGGAGACCAGATATAGTGAATGCAGGGTCCGGGGAGACCAGATATAGTGAATGCAGGGTCCTGGGAGACCAGATAGAGTGAATGCATGGTCCAGGGAGACCAGCTATAGTGAATGCAGGGTCCAGGGAGTCCAGATATAGTGAATGCAGGGTCCGGGGAGACCAGATAGAGTGAATGCAGGGTCCGGGGAGACCAGATATAGTGAATGCAGGGTCCGGGGAGACCAGATAGAGTGAATGCAGGGTCCGGGGAGACCAGATATAGTGAATGCAGGGTCCTGGGAGACCAAATATAGTGAATGCAGGGTCCTGGGAGACCAGATAAAGTGAATGCAGGGTCCTGGGAGACCAGATAGAGTGAATGCATGGTCCGGGGAGACCAGATATAGTGAATGCAGGGTCCGGGGAGACCAGATATAGTGAATGCAGGGTCCGGGGAGACCAGGTATAGTGAATGCAGGGTCCTGGGAGACCAAATATAGTGAATGCAGGATCCTGGGAGACCCAGATAGAGTGAATGCATGGTCCAGGGAGACCAGATATAGTGAATGCAGGGTCCTGGGTTTAGTAACACTTTAATCTTTTTTTTTTAATGCTGTCAGTTTAACTTTTTTTTATCACTTTTATTGCTGTCACAAGGAATGTAAACATCCCTTGTGACAGCAATAGACATGTGACAGGTACTCTTTATGGAGGAATCTGGGGCCCCAAATTCCTCCTCTGCACTTAAAGCATTCAGAACACCAACATCAGTGTTTTTGAATGTTTTTTATTTTTTTTAAATGGCGCCATTTAGTTCCATGTAAACCGGAAGTGATGTCAGCTCATCGCTTCTGTTTTACTATAAGAGAGAGCAGATCAAAGTCGATCTCAGTTTTGTTCGGCTGGTAAGCCAGCCAGCAGACCTGCCGGCTGTTCACTCTGGTCTCCCGGTGGGATTGGAGATCCTGAGAAAGCGGCGGAAGGCACCCCCCCCCCTCCCCCGGTGCACCCTCCATGTGCACCACTCGTTTTTCCCTCTGTTGCCCAGGCCCCCCTGTGTGCCCCCACTCCAACATTGCTGCTGGCTTCCCTCCTTTTCTTTCCACTGCTAGCTGCAAGCACACAATTGGATCCTTCAAGAGGGAAAGTGGGGGAAGTGTCAGATAAATATGTCACATTTACCAGCCCCTTCCTTTCCAGAAAGAACACAAGGAGT